TAACTATTTTGATAGACTTATACGATATTCATCAAAGCATCCGAACATGTATTTTCTTTTTCCAGATGAAAACATAAGCGATCACAGGTATTAGTTGAACAAACCCAGCATGTTGATTCATTCATAGATGAGCTGATTTATTATCATTTTCTATTTTATAATATTCAAAACCACAATGTTTATTTTGATTATCCATTGAATTAATTGTTTGACACATATATACAACCCACGTGCTCTCACAGTTTTGGCAATTGTAACAGTTTCAATTAGCAACACAAGTTGTGGGAATATTATGTTTATGTTAAAAATGAATTTCAGTAAGATAGGAAGTTTATGTATAGGCGGTTGACGATTTCGCTTTTATTGAAGTCCGGTCATCGATAATCAGTTGATGATTTGTGTTTATCAAACCTGGTAATTATCAGTATACAGATGTGGATATATTAATTTGACGGACCGTCGTTGAAGCAGATTAAGAATGGATCAGTTCAAATCAAAAGACATCATATCAGTCGAATATATATGCAGGTTCGAATATAATCATGACGTCAGTTCGTGGGAAATCAAACACGTTCCAGAACTTAACATTTAGAATGCAATATTGCAGTGATTATGATTATGAATAGGTTTTTGTAATTGTCGGGTCCTAAAAATATTATCGAATTCTTTCAGATCACAGAATGCTGTTGTTTTTCTATTTGCTTATTTTGTGATAATTTTAGTAAGTACCCTATGCAGTTTCGGAAACAGCCTGACCATTTACTACCCTCTTTAAAAATAATACAAATATTTCGAAAATCGAAAAAAATTAAATACACTGGAACTTCCTAGGCCGAGAAAACAATATCACTCAAAAACAATATTCATTTATTTAACAACCCCCCACCCCCGCCCAATAAATCCAAACATAAAACTAGGAAACAAACACGCAGAAACGACTTTTCATCCAGAAATAAATTAATCGCTTATTTTCTCCCGGAATCTGTCTAGGCGTCCTAAAGGATTCCGTCCTCGGTTCTCTTTTTCTCTTTAACTCACAGCGTTATTGTGCTTAATGGTCTGTGACTACTATATGTAGTCTCATGTTTACATCATTGCAAAACGGCAGGGACTGTAGTGAACCAGATTGTGGTGTACCAGTGGCGTAGCTACGGGCAGTGCAGCCAGTAAAAAGCACTGGGGCCCAGGGCTATTAGGGACCATTCATAAATAGACCTAAAGATGATAATTTAAAATAATTTCCAAATTAATTTTTAAGAAAAAAAGAAACGGCCAGCGGGCCCCTCAATAATATTCGGTTTCTAGAGAAGTAATTATTGATTACTGTGTTGATTTCAATTAAGTGGTATATAAGGGGAGGCCAGCCGCCTGACCCCCCTACTTTTTAGGGGGTCAGGTCAGGGGTCATCTTACGATGAATTTTCTGAGAACTTTAGGGAATTTATCACTTCAAAGGGCCCGGCAATTAATCTTGCACTGAAGCCCTTTTCGCACATAGTTACGCCACTGAGGTGTACTTTCAGCCCCTACTCTTCCGAAAGATGCAATGGGTTCTTAAATGTGCACACGTGCCAGAGGTGTAGACTAGACTTCTGGTTTTAAATCCTTATTTGAGAAGACTTGAGCGTACTTCTCGAATTATCGCCGATGTTAGTGCTACTTAACCGCTGGCCACTCGACTCGTCCACAAGTTAGGTTGTAGGCAATTATGCCGTAACGACGAGGGGAGTCTTACATTTCATTTATTTGATGTATTTTATTGTCTATTGTAATTCCTTTTCTGTTGGTTTTCTCTCCACCAGTAACAACAATTTAAAAGGCTCAGTGCCCGCTTGTGAAGTGCTCTTACCACGCGACACCATCCACTCAACGAAACCCTCCACTGGCTACCTGTCGGGCGACGAATTGTTCTTGGGGTTTCCTAAATTCCAAACAAAGACTTATTAACCAACGCACCCCTTCACACCCCTTCATTCTTTGCCTCTTCGATGTGAAACAATTTGCCCTCTTTGTCAAAAATTGACTTGGCCTACACAAGATCCAAGTAAACTTCATTTGAAAACGTGTTTTTTTTTTTTTAAAACTAACTTCATCATTTTCTATGAAAAAAATTGCGCGTTTGGTAATTTTTCGGAGCCTTCCAGTTGACCTAGAATTATTAGGCCTATTATTATATTATTAGGGCTGATACCATGAGGCGTATTGATTATTGTTATTACTAGTCTTGTTATTATCATATCATCGTCACAATTCTTATTACATATCGTCGGCTTCATAGAAAGTGAAGTCGGTAGAATATGAGGAATAGTTGGAAAGAAAGGTTTGTAATATCATGTGTTAACGTGTGATTTAGGATACCTTTGACATAATTTAATCTTAATGACTATGTTTGATTGATGATTTATATAATATGCCTCTTACATCTAAAGATGACTTGTTAAAAAACCGATCAGTAGGCCTATGTGTTCGTATCACTGTGCCAGATTGGCGTGTCCAGGCGTGTGGCAAAAAGCAACTACTTAACGATCACACAATAGTGGGCTTATTTTGTAAGACGTTAGAAACAAAACTTTTAAGCAAACAAGGACTACAGTAAACGCTACATACAGGACGAATTCTGCACGTGGGCCTGTAATTATATTTGTACACAAGTCAAAGATCAAACACTAACCTAAAGGGGTGTAAAGTGGCTGACGTATAAACTACACATATGCCTATGCTGTAGACCTGTATTAGTCCTATAGGTAAACAGTTTAATAAGTAGCCGTATTTAGTCTATTATGATACAATTAACAAAATACAGGCAACACTTTAGAGTATAAAGGCATTGGCCTATGTATTCCACAAGCTTTTATCACTACTGTGACTTCTTTAGTTGATTTGTAAAGGGACGTGTGGGTCAGGGTGCGTGTGTTGAATTACCGCAAGCCAGTAATCGCTCAGGAGACATTGGATGCCTAAACGACAAATGTGTTGTACTAGTCCTATACTGTATATATATTAAACCAGGGAGCAGTTATATCTAATCAAATACTGCACTGCAGGACATCAATAATAGCAACAGAAAGATAACTATATGCGGGCTCAAAATTAAATATTAAGCCAGTTTCTGAAAGAGCCACTGTAAATATAACATAAGTAATACCACCCTACGGTCCATTCCACTAGGCGGATGTTTACGCAAGTATACGGTATGGAGTATTATGAATGGTTGGTAGTGATAATATTTAACGCTAGGGTGGTCATTGAGTTTGAAACCAGTCGCAATGATATCTTCCCACGAAATGTGTATAGAACAATTGCAGTCCAGAAGAAGAAACAATTATAATCGTAACCATGGATTACCTGTTCCATATATACGGTATTTTAAGCGGAAGTGTAAAAGAGGTCAATTTTAGTGCACTGTTTCTGAAAAAATATAATAATACAGTAAAACCCCTCCTTAGGGGACATTTTCTGTTCCCTGAGGTGTCCCCGTAGGGTTCTACTGTATATTATAATATGTACTCATCTGCCTATTTCTATCTTATGGAAATGGGTGGTAAGCCTATTAATTGACCACTTTTAATCATAATAATAATTTTAATCTTGGTGAAGATAATAGTTTAATTTTGCATAACAATTATCTTAATTATACCATTTTTATGTTTAAACAAGTTTTGAATTATATTTAATATATATATATATATATATATATATATATATATATATAAATCATCAAAGAAAGGTAAATACAGTGTTCGAATAAAGGACATAATAATACATCATATAGCATAGCTCTCAACGAATGAATGAATAAATAAATAAATGAATAAAGAAATTGTGTAATAAAATGCCTCTGGAGGGACTCGAACCTGCGACCTCTCGCTGTCAAGGCGAGCGTCATAGACCACGGAGGCTTCATGGTTGAACAGATTAAAACACCACCAGATACACTCCATTACACAATGGATACGGCTAGAAACAAATAGGTGGTTTGCTTATATGTATTTTTATACTTTACTAACTTCGATAATTGCTTTTGTTATCATATTATAATTTCATTTATGTTAAACTAAATGGGTGGTTTTTACAGACTTTCTATTATAGTGATTAAGTTTGCGTTTGTGTCCCTGCCCTCCTATTCAATTTATTGTATGTGTATTTTGTATGTATTCCACCATTTACTGTACTTCGTTTGTTGGCGAATAAAGAATAAGAATAAGAGTAACTATGAATGATTATTTATGAAGATAGTGATGATAATTATGATGAAAAACTAATATCTTTTAGCACCAGAAAAAGTAGTGTGACTGCTCACTCAAAATATTTCTGTTCGGCTATTGGGGGATAAGGTGGGGTTGCGCTGTCTTCATCATGTCCGTTGGTGTGTGATACCACCAGATAAAATAGTATAATACATACTCCAATATCGAAATGCACGCCATCGTTTCGGGATTCAATATTTCGACATTAATTATGTCATCATCAGGAATACCAACAGATCGTTTGCCATTCTTCATTGGGACTTATACACTGTATATGATGCCTGAAACGACATAGAGCTTTTAATAGCCCCGTGCTTTTAACCAGCAATTAAATCCATTGTCTTTGTGTTTTAGTTATGTTTAGCCAATTTAATCAAATTCTATAATCAGAGGCTTAGGACCTCCCCCTATCATTCAATTGCAATTCTCTCACTCCTGTATCTTGGTACAATAACTGGTTTGACATTTCACATAGTGATAACTGCACAAGTTTCCAAACATTAGAAAATACATACAAGGAACATTCAACAGGGCAACAACATACACGCTAACTTTGATGAAGAATCTTGATTTATGTCTCACTTTGCTTGTTTTGCACCGTATATTTAAAAGATTAAGATTTCAAAGATGAAACATAAAGCAAGTTGTAGTCATTTTTAGAACTCTGTTATTACTCTGAATTCAGGAAAAAGTAAAAAAAAAAAAAAAAAAAAAAAAAAAAAAAAAAAAAAAACACAAGAGAGAGCAATAACATTTGATATAAAATATGTTTTTAATATTCATTTCATAAATATAACAAAGATTGGAAGACTTTGTGAAATTGTTGGATATCACACAATCATAATGAACGATTCTGTTTCGTACTTTTTAAAACATATAATGTAAAACTATGCGAACGATACAACAATAAAAGGTTTGTGGTAAAGATACGCAAATAACTTGATTGCGTGTTATTATAAAAGCGCATAACGTAAAAAAGATAACATAACACAAACACACGACCGTTGAAGAAAATAACGGTTGTCTCTGGATAGGTAACGCGATACAAGACGTAAACAAGGTGATTATGCCTATAAATAGAAGACAAAGTCTGAGTTATATAAAAGTGCATATATACTTTAGTGTTATGCATGACTAAGAAAAATGTAACTACATAACAATATATATTCTAAACAGCAAAAAAAAAAAAATAAAATGATTTTGTCTTAGCGGTTTGAATACCCGGTATTCAAACCGCTAAGACAAAATCATAATTTTTTCAACAAAGACATTTATACAGTAATTTAATTTTTTCAACAAAGACATTTATACAGTATGTTGTACTATAAAATGAAAGTATAACAGAGTACACATTAAGTAATATGAAATTTTAAGATAATTTGTGTTTATATTATAAAATATTATGAAACACAATTCTTGCAACATCAGTTGCGTGTCGACATTTTTCGATAAAGGCACAGATATAAGGCAAATGCCGATAGTTATAAATATAGATACACACTATTTGTGGTCTAAAGCTTAATAATACTATTGCAGCGGTTTAGGCCTATCGTTCATAGATAATTTCAACAGTACAAAAGAATATAGTAATTCTTCGTCGTTAGATTAACGAAATAACTATAACATTAATTTTTATCCAAACAATTGGATACTCTAAAAGTTAAAAAAAAAAGAACTTAAATTATGTACATACAAGGCAAATATATGCTGGAAAAGTTTCATAGAATGTAAACACTCGACAGAGCACACATTTCCGGTGAAATGAAATGCATAGATTATTCAATTTGCCCACATCGCATTTCTGATTCTCCTGTTCCAATTTCTGGTCATTCTATTGCGTCGTCGATGCGTTTCACCCCGTCAACGCGTCATCCAATACACATTGTTTCTCTGATAGTTCGTCTATAAATTGTTCACAATTATTAAATTTGTTTAAAAAAAAACTAAATTGCACATCTGAATAGTTTTCGTTTCTATCTTGATTAGTATTGCTATCATTGAGTTGAACTCGTTGTTGGAATGATACCATATTTTTTAAATTGTGAAAAATGACTTGTAACCTTCTTCAGTTTGCAGTCCGAAACTTCTTTTCCATTTAGCACATCGGCCATGAATTCTATGTAGATCATAGCGAGTCGGAGTGTTTCGATCCTGGAAAGTCGCTTTTCGTAGGCGAAAGTTGGAACAAACTTACGGAGCTCATCGAAAGCTTCATTCAGGCTGAACATTCGTCGTCTCTCACGGACATTTGCTGCTTTACGCTGGGCTACAGTCGGTACTCGCCTTCTTGTTTTCGGCTTTGTCGGCGTCGTTTGTTGTGGGGTTTTGTAGAAGTCTACTGCTGTATAGTTGTTATTTCCTGGATAGAAATTATAAAAATTCTCCATACCGTTAAACGCCATTTCGTTTACATTTCCAGCGCTAACCATACATGGATCGCTCCACTGTTGTTGCATGCCTACATGTTGTCCGGTCTGGAGGACGGTTCCATGCTGAAGAGTTTGCCCATCGTGCATATGCGATTGCGCAGCTAACCCGTGGTAAATAGGGTCTTGCTGTGGCATCATTTCTCTAGGTGGTGAAAGCATACAACTTGAATCGTAAGCATAACTACATGGAGCCGTATTGCAGGGAACCGATGTCTGGAACATGCTCCCCATGTCTGTGTAAGTGTTCTGTGGGCTTAGTTCAAGTCCCATGGAATCCGAGTCGGATAACGGTGGGCTAAGCAGGAGGGTGTCTTCGTCAGTGGCCACCATGTTCATGAGCTCCTGTAAGCTGGGGTTCTGCTGGGTCATCATCTTTGCAGGCTGACAGTTGCTTGTCGGTCGTGTCAAATTTCGCAACAGATTTCTCTATGCTGCTGCTTCGTCGAAGTGGGCCTACAACTTATGGTTGGACTCTGTAGGCACGTGTTGCTTTATATACACTTTCCTAAACAAACAATTGTATAATTTAATTCACCTTTAGATTGGTGTTTTGCATAGGCCTAACTAATTAAGCCTGAACTTGTAAAAGAAAAGTTACACACGCATGACGAAGCGTGCTACATTCAAATCAGCTGATCGGATCAGCGAATAGGACCCACCCCAGGTGTTGCAGCTCGTGCCGTCCACGTAAAAAGATTTACACTAAGGCTATGATTGGTCAGCGGTCGCACTTTTCTGTTTGATGAAGGTTTAAGTGGGCGGGATTTAGATCCACGAAAACTATCTAATGTTTTGAAAGTTGTCGCGGGGGTCTCGCGTGCCTTATTCTCTCTTCACCTATTGAAGACGACGGATGGTGCCTTTTGATACGTCAACGCTTTGTGTTAGAGTTACTCTTTTAAGTAGAATTACTATTCTCAACCATATACAACCTTGGAAGCTATGTGGTTTTCTGTTGGTACTATAGTAACCCTGTAGTGTCATATTATAATATACCTACCGTGAATGTATTTTTAATACGGCAATTGTGTTTTAATCACGTCGAAGATCCGTGAATCATTGTACATATTGCACACCAATCTGAGTGTCATATTTTATCTTCATTTCTGGTATTTATTATGATATCTATTTTTATATTAAAATGTATTTTGTCTCTGATTTTTTTTTGTAGATGTTTTACTTTATGCTGTGTTAAAAGTTTTGTTTGTATACTTTTATTTGTATTGTTGTATAGGGTCACTTTACGTCTCACACCAACAAATAGCCTATTTATGTATTGTTTGGTGTTTTCGAGGACTTCTCTGGAAATGTATCTAGGCCTATATGTAAAGCATTAATTAGAGAGTTTACCAGAACATTGATCTTGCATATTGTTGATATAAAGTTGTACGGTAATTACATACTAATAAATTTGTAATTGTTTTATTTAGAGATAGGCCTATCGAAAAACGTAGCAAATAAACTCAAAGTTCACTCTTAATAAATAATTACATAAACATATACATAGGGCCTAGATATATTTATGCTTTTATCAACATCTTCTAAATCTATATAATTAATATTTGAATGACAGTATATACCTACCCATCATTCGAGCTGTAGGAAACTATGTACACCTTAATAACTCACATACGTATAGCTCACGGGCAGTGTTTTGTAGCCCTGACCACACAAGCAGTGTTTTAAAAACCACGAGCATTTTTTATTTTATTTAACTGTTCCCTAGTAAACGCTTTTTCATTCCATCAGTACAAAAGAAAATGCATGGGGAGATGGGGTGGGGAAGGCTCAGTGTCATTATTGAATCAATTCTTATATGGGATCATTAAATAGAAATGTGAGATGTTCTGTATACAATTTGAAATTTACGGTTCAATTCACGTACGTCAATTGTTCTCAAAACAAAAGTATAAAATAATTGGAAACCACCCCGAGGGATACCGATATGCTCTGGTATTGCCAGATGATAGGCTTAAGCTTTATTAGGACTACCATATCTCGTTTATGATACGGCTAGCTTAAATAGTACCGTATTTTATCAAGCGCAAGAATTTAGTTACAGTTACCCCAACTTAAGTGAAGAATCAATCAATTTTGAAATGTAATGGGGCGTCAAATTTGATTATATTCAGTGGCTAATTGACCATCCAACCATGATGAACTTGCCTAAACTGAAAGTATTGCGAACGAGTTTCCCACGTATTTGAGTATTAGTTTAGCATTCGGACAGTATTTATGAGGCAGACACCTGGCCTAAGCCAACGCATTAACCATAAGCTCTGTCTTTTCTGGTGCTTCCTCGCGAAGCCGCGCTAAGTATGAACACCGAGTGATGTTTAAGTGAAATACGGGCTACTTTTAAGCACATTAGAGCAGCTGCCATTGGCCGTCTCTCTGTAAATTTCCCAGCAGTCTTTTTACGAGCGCCAGGTTTAAACTGCTTATCTTCGTGGGATAGAAATTTTAGCCCGAGTTTCAGCTTTGTTTGTAAAATAATATTTAATCTAATTAGTAATATATTTTTAAGCGGTAAGTCATTCATATGCCTTATAATTACTTAACTCGATGAGGAAGCCTTATGATTTTTTTATCAAAATTCATCATATATAGGCCTGTAAATAAATAAATAAATATATATAGGCATTATATAGTGCCCGAATGTATAAATATATTTATAGGCTTATACACAGGGGAATCTGTTTCTACAGTTTATATAAGAATGAACTATAAT